ATAAACAGTCACATTCTAATGTATTCATGTTTCTTAGTAATGTAATTATTTTAAAAAATTTTATTAAAATTCGTCGAAAGAATTCAATTATTTGTAGAAACTGTAAAAAAATTCTTTTCAAGAATTCCATTATTTCCATAAATATAGGAAAATTCTTCAGATTTACTAAATTCATTTAAATATTATTTTTTTTAAATTCTTCACAAGAATTCAATTATTTCCATAAATTTACATAAAATTCTAAAAAACAATTCAATTATTTTCAAAAGTAATAAAATTCTTCGCAGAAATTCAATTATGTTTAAAAATTTTTTTTTAAATCTCCTCAAAATTTCAATTCAAACACAAGATTTATATAAAAATTATTTGATTGAAGTAAATATTTAATTAATTTAAATAAACTAATATTTATTTATTTTAAAATACTTAATTATTTATTTGAGTCAAATAAACGCTATTTGGCTATTATCCAATAAATATTTGCTTGAATCAAATAATTTTTATTGAAATCAAATAAATTGTATTTGAAACAATAATTTTAGTTTCTGAATGAAATAAATATTATTAAAAAATAAATTTCTTTTCATTGTTTGACTATTTACTTTAATAAAAATGACTTGATACAAAAGAATATTATTTATTTAAACATGGACAAGTAATCATTTATTTGAATTAAATATTTATTTTTTCTTAGGCAAGTAATCGTTTATTTGAATCAAAATTTATTATCAATATTTTTATTAAAATAAAAATTATTTGATTTTTAAATATTCATTTTAGAGTATTTATTTAATAAAATACAATTTATTTATTTAATAATCGGTTATTGTAATCAAATAAATTTTATTTACTGTATTAAATTTGAATTTCGCGCCATTATAATTCCTTATATTTCCGCCTAGGGGGCATGAAAACTCTCTCGTAAACGAGATGAAGTGGATGATCAACTACTTCGTATAAAGTTCCTTTTCTTGATTCACGTTGAAGTTAAATTAATTTGACTCAAATAAACAATTATTTGACTATTATCAAATAAATATTTTTCGATTCAAACACTTTTTATTTCAGTGATTTAAATGGCATTGTTTTAAAATAGAATATTAAAATTTGTTTTTAATTTTCATATCTACGGGGTCGATAAAAGATTTCTCCTCAAGTGCCTTTATTATAATACACAACTTTCGTTAAAATCAATTTGCAAAGTCCGTTATGAGAAGGTGAAGGTTTTCTCAGCGCGGGGCCAATTTGAGACGAGGGCACTCGGTTAGTAGCATGTTATACGAAGAATCGTCATCGACCTAATAATTAAGATGTGCTTATAAAGCAAGAAAATTGTAGGTGTACGTCGTTTAGATAATAAAAAAAAGTGTACACATAAAATTGCGTAATTTACAATTTTTAACGATTTCTATCAGTCAATAGATCGATGGATTGATTGTATTTCAAATTCTAAAATTAGAATTAGAAAGACAATAGAATACAAATTAAATACACTTAACATTTATTAAATTTTCAATATTAATAAAATTATGTTTCAATTTTTTAATTATTCCCTACAGAAACAATGGGAGCGAATTGTTTTTCTTTTCTAACTTATTTTAATGCAGTAAAGATAAGAAGTACATGTGGAAAATAAAAAAATATTTTAATATAATAATTTTTTTTCTTCAAAGTCGCGTTTAAATTGAAAATATATTTTATTTAATGCGCCACAAAATGTTCTTGGTGATGAAAACAAAATTGGCACATGATTGATTGAATATTTTTTCGATCAGCACTGAAGTGATTAATCAGATGAATAGTCTTCTGTCCATCATTTTGTTTATAAACATTAATAAATACCACTTTTTTTCACAGTAATTAAAAAAAAATGTTTACGACTCCCAAAAAATTGCTATTGTATAACAAAATTTTAATAATAAAAAATATATATGTAAGTGTTTAGTTTTTATATTCTGTTTACTTATGTTTATTATTATCACTACCTTTATTCTTGTATTATTAAATTATTATTTTGAATAATAATTATTATTTTAAATCAAATACCGTTTGACTCAAATAAAAATTATTTGATATTATTTTTATTTATTTAATCCAAAAAAATTTTTATTTGATAATAAAGAAGTAATTGTTTATTTGAATAAATTTTTCCTTTATTGTGGAACAAAAAAAAAGAAATTAAAGTAAATAGTTGATTTCTTCATCTCGTTTGCGAGAGAATTTTCATGCCCTCTAGGCGGAAATATACGGAATTATAATGGCGCGAAATTTAAATTTCAACACTAAATAAAATTTATTTGATTGAAAAAATCGATTATTAAATAAATAAATTTTATTAAATAATTATTTACTTGAAACAAACAATTTTTTTTAATCCAATCAAACTAATAATTTAGTAAAAATGCTAAAATCGGTATATGTTTATAATTTTTATCATTTTTACTCAACAATTTTTTTTCGCAAGTGAAAATTTTAAATACTTTTATTTAAATTTTCTTTTTATTTTCCATATATGCATTAGAACGATCGACAATGTTAACGCACACACAGTGTTCTTTTAAAAAGGAAAAAAAAAGAAAAATATACGGTAATTTTGTACCACGATGTATTTAATTACACGTTAATTAATCAAGCTTTGTGTGACTGAAATGATATAAAAAAAACTGTAATTTTCTGGTGTCTGATAATGACAGATGTTACATTTACAGGTTTAATGGAAATTTCACACGCAAGAATGCATATATAGTATGCACACTTTGTAATTTACATTCTTGAAATAACATCACCTTTTCATTTATATTTCTCTTTACAAAAACAAAGAACAATATTATTATATCGATAATTTCTTTTCAAAAGTCTTATTTTTTATATAAAAATTTCTAAATTCGAAAAAAGAAAATTTAACAAAATTTTATTTTGCAATTTTAAAAATGAATAATTTAGTAATCTAAAATTCTTTAAACAATTAGTAATCTAATGGTAATTTAATCTATTAAGTATATAGATAAATAATAATTAGTATTATTATTGTTAATTATTGATAATAATTACATATTGTCTAATATAATCTAAAAATTATTTTTCAAGTGTAAAGTGCATATTTTGTGTTATAATTAAAAAAATGACATGTAAATATTGATAACAGGATATATTAAAAATAATACTGAAAAGGATATATTAGAAATTTATAAAAATTTTAAAAAAAGAATAGGTATAAAATTTGTACAATTCGCATAATGCAATCTGTGACAGAATTAACTAATTGGATACTCGCGTCTTCTGCATTATAATTATACTCAAATTATTTAACAGGGAAAAAATGAGACGGCTGGTACTTTGGATAAGATTAAAGAATCGTAATTAAAAACGAAAAGTGCAGTCCAAGATAAAAAGTATTCTACTCTCTTCTAATTGTTAAAATTTCTATTTTAATTACAATCATTATTTTGAAATTAAATCTATAGAGAGAGAAGGTTGCCTTCAAGAGAATGAATTTCATTAAAATTCATTGTAAATTTTGCCTTCTTTTTGAAAATAATTGACAACACCTTAAATGATTAAACAACTCCATTTTTATATTATTTATATAAATAATTATTTTAATTAGAAAATTATTATTATTTTCTTTCTAATAAAAAAAGCCTAAACACAGTTTCTTTATGAATAATTATTTTGGTCTTCTTTACTTACTAGTTTATTTATAGTTATTATTTTTTTTATTGAAAACTTTTTTCAGTTTAAATAATTTCAAAAATTACTAAAACAAATTAAAAAATTATTATTTATTTATCATTATTATTTTATTTATAATATTTTTCTCATGACGAATTGTTGAAAATAGTTGAAAATATTTAAATAGAAAAAAAATTTCGTTTATTTCAATACTTTCACAATTTTATCCAAATATTTTCAACATATTAGACTGAAATTTTTTCCTTAAAAAAACAATAACTTTGATCTTTTATATCTGATTAATTTTATGTCGTACAATTAAATTTTCATCTCCTTAATTCATTCAAAAGTCTAGTTCAGTAATATAAAATTAAAATCTTTATTAAATTTATAGATTTATTTAACTAGATAGATTTCCACTTTTTAAAATTGAAAAATTTTTGTTTTAAAACATCTGAAAGCTGAATGAAATGAACTTTGAATCAACAAGAACATTGTTTTCAATGTTAATTTAATAGAAACTTTGTATAAAAAAATTTTTCCATATGAATCAAATAAATAATACTTTCTTGCTTTTCTTTGGTATTAAAAAAGAGTACCAAATTAAAAATCTTTAATTAAAACACAGGAACTATATGTGTGGAAAAAATTGTTTTTATCACAATAGTTCTCGGTGTACTGTATAAAATATAACGAAATATTTTAAATTTTCCTTTGAAAAATCAGACAGACAATAAAATTCGTTTAAATTTAAAAACATTTTTCTAAAGAGAAATAATTTTTAATCAACGAATTTTTTACTTTTAATTCTGTTTTTACCTCTATGTTGTCTTTTCCTTTCAATTTTTTACTTTTCGTTTTTTTCTTAATTTTTAATATTTTACTTTTTGTATTTTTGTTCCTATTCTTTCATTTTACCTTCTATTCTTTTACTAATTATCAAATATTAATTAAATAAATTTTATCATTGGATTATAAATTGCATTTACATTAAAATTTTATTATCAAAAAGAGTAAAAAATTTCATCATAATTGAATTATAAATAATTAAATTAAATTTTTGTTACCAAAGAGTGAAAATATTATATTATATTATATTTTATATACACAATAACTTAAATCTTATCAGGAAAATAGCGGATGTGTTTCCTGCTTCTTTTTTTAATCAAAAATAAAACAAGAAGCTCATATATGGAACTTCTGAAATTTATTCTCTTTAGTATTCAGAAATCAAATGAGAACTTTACAACGGAATGTGTTAATTTTTGAAAATTCGAATTACCAAAATTTAATGTTAATTTTAAAATTAGAATTTTATTAAATTACAGGGCAAAGGACGTGATCAGTTGCATGGACACAGGCATCGACGAAAATTTCATCAAATATAGTATTTCGGTAAGTTAATGAGAAAATAATTTATTTGAATAATTATACGACTATGAATTAATTAATAATTACACCTATAGGGGAAATTTATTTCTGAATCTAATATTCTATTTTTTTTTCTATTTTAAAATTTTTATTTATTTTCTACGTTATTTTAAACGAAGTTATATAAGTTTTCTGTAACCTTAATAAATATTTGTTTGATTTAAAAAAAAGTTTCATTTTAATAAATTTTGTACTATTCGAATTTAATTTTTTGATTTTGCATTTTACCTTCCAATATGAGTATCTCTACTCAGGAAAAATTTATTTGGCTCAGAGCCTACTAAATTATTTATTTGTTTCAAATGAATTTTATTTGGTTCCGATAAATTTTATTGGCCAAATAAATTTTATTATTAAATACATTTTTTTTTATTATTATCCAAATAAATTTTTCATTTTTGAAATCAATTTTATTTGGTTCAAATAAATTTTAGTTTTTTCAAATATAGATTTTCTTTGATTCCGATAAATTTTATTTGGACCAAATAAATTTTTCTTCTTTCAAAATGGACTTTATTTATGGTTCAAATAAATTTTTTATTTCTTTCAAACGAATTTTATTTGGTTCAAATAAATATTATTTGTTTCAAACGAATTTTTTTTTGGTTCAAATCAAAATTCTATTTATACAAAATAAAATTTTTATGTAAAACAAAGAAATAATTTAATATTCTCTGTGACAAATATTTCAAACAAATTTTTTTCTGAGTGTAATAAAAAAAATATGATTAAATTATGTGATTTCCATTAATAAAAAAAATTTCTTAAATTCAAATTAAAAATAAATAAATTCAAAAATTTATCTCAATAAATATTACGTCATTATCATTTTTAAACTTTTGATCAATAAAAAACTGCAGCTGTACAAACTTTTCTGTATGAAACCGCATTTGATAAACATTTATTATTTTTTATTTTAAATTTTGTTTAAACTTTTTGTCTAAACAAAAGAAAGAAAATTTTACATTTGTAGTAAAATAAAAGGCTTATAGTTATACTTGCGTATTATTTCTCAATAATTATTTTCTATTTTGCAGTTCCGCGAAATAAAGCGTAATACATATAAAATTACAAAATTTCCCTCTTTTAATCTCTCATAAATTCTTTTATTTTTATTTTTAATATTTAAAATTGAAAACTGCATCTCGTATCCTATACGTAGATGCAATATGGTTGATAGGATTTTGAGATTCGTGCTTTGACCCTTTGATCAATATCAAAGTATCGGATATATGTGCATTGTAATGCAATACTATTATTCTTCTTCAAAGGAACAATATGAATTCTTATTTTTTTTATACTTCACTTTTAGCATTATACTCTCGCTACATACTCAACATTTTTACAAAAAAAAAAAAACTTTGCCTGCTTAAAAAATGAGCTCTCTCCATACCACTTCTTCTATATTTTCTAATATTCAAAAGACGAAAAAATAATATTAAAAGAAATATATAAAAATAACAATATGTTTACAAACTAATTACACGCAGAAAGTATATATGCATACATAATTCAGCAGTTTACATGAATCTTGTGTAATTTTCTGGTGGAATGATGAGAAAATGATTTAGTTGGCTCTATTAATAGAATAGAGTTCAACGATGAACTATTATTATGATAATTGGGAAATCAATTGGCGATGGTGTTTCTGTTTCTAACCAACTGCAACCATCATTCATAGATTGTACTATGTAGATATGTATACATATATATATGTATATATGACAGTAACAAATGGAGGATTATAACTGCAGTCTATACAGTGCCGCTCAATAACTTTTGCCCACCCTACAGCGATTAAACACTTTAGAAAAAGTTTTGTATTTTGTTTATTATTAAAGTTAAAAAGTCCAAAAAGGTCATCTCCTTTTAAAGCTCTTTTCCTAAGCTTTAACACTATATAAAACAGAAATTAAAAAAATTAATTAATTATTGTTTAAAAAATATTATTGTAACATAAAATTTTTCAATTTTTTTGGTTTTTTTTAAAGTGATACAGTTTATAAGAAAATCATCGCATGTTAATCGCAGTTATATCATTTGAAAGCTGGTTTTAACACCTTTAAAATGCATTTTTTTAAAAAAATTTTTACGATAATTTTTAAGAATAATATGATCATTTGTTTAAAAAATTAGCAATTTTTTTCAATTGTTGATAACTCAAAAACGGTTCGTTTAAAAAAAATTTTTTAAGAACATAAATTGTTCATTTGTATATGTAGAATCAGAAAAAAAATATACAAATTTTTTTTTAGAAAAAAATTTTTTTAACGTATTTTTTGAAAAAACAAAATTTTTGCATTTTTTATATTTTTAAGTATTAATTGTAGAAATTTGGTATTTGGTAAGTAAAAGTTGCAAATTTCTACAATTAATACTTAAAAATATAAAAAATGCAAAAAAATTTTTTTTTTCAAAAAATACGTTCAAAAAATTTTTTTCAAAAAAAAAATTTGTATATTTTTTTTTTTGATTCTACATGTAAAAATGAACAAAATTTTTTTTAAACGAACCGTTTTTGAGTTATCAACAATTGAAAAAAATGGCTAATTTTTTAAACAAATGATCATATTATTCTTAAAAATTATTGTAAAAATTTTTTAAAAAATGCGTTTTAAAGGTGTTAAAACCAGCTTTTAAATGATATAATTGCGATTAACATGCGATGATTTTCTAATAAACTGTATCACTTTAAAAAAAACCAAAAAAATTGAAAAATTTTATGTTACAATAATATTTTTTAAGCAATAATTAATTAATTTTTTTAATTACTGTTTTACATAGTGTTAAAGCTTAGGAAAAGAGCTTTAAATGGAGACCTTTTTGAACTTTCTAACTTTAATAATAAACAAAATACAAAACTTTTTCTAAAGTGTTTAATCGCTGTAGGGTGGGCAAAAGTTATTGAGCGGCACTGTATACATATATATATAGAGGCAAAGTGCACTCTAATGCATTGTTTCATTGCATTTTAAGGTCATTTAAATTCACATATATTTTCCCAAGTGAAAATGTTCATATTTCCATAAGCAATTATCACCATTTATAACCCACTGACAGCGTAAATGTTACAATTTAAAGAGAAAAAAGCGCATAAATTATTTTTTTGGTCGAAAGAAAACATTAACTTTTCTATTAATTTAATCACTTTATTTCTAAAAAGAAATTTTTTTATCTTAAAAATAAAAGGACAAAATAAATAAAGAAAATGAATAAAAATAATAAATAAAGTAAAGCTTTCTTTACGAGGAAGCTAAAAACAAAAATAACATAAAATAACATAAAAAATAACAAAATTAAAATTAAGTAACAAATTAATGAAAAGCAAAATAAAAACAATAAAAAAAATCATTTTTCATAAATACAAATAATGTTGAAATTAATTTAAACAAAAATAATTAAGCTGTATATTTTTGTCGAAATAAAAAACAAAAAGGAAAAATTAATAATTCATAAATGATAATAATCAAGAGACTAAATGAGGGCAACCGACTGATTCAATATTTGACCGATAAATAAAATGTCCAAGGAATCAATGAATGAAATGATGTTATTAATAATAGAAATGATTATTTCAATTACTAATATCGTGACCAATAAAATCTCTACATGACGAATGAAAAAAGTAATAAAACGATTACAATCAATAAAATCCGAAAAAAATCGATACGATTATAAACGAAAAAACGCAATTTAGGAGATAAAGAAAATAAATTAATCAAAAAAGTTATTGGATTAAAATTATAATAAAAAAAAATTAAATGAGTGATAAACAATCATAATTACAATAATAATTACAATTGATAATTAAAAAATTTTAAATAATAATAAACATAATTAATAATAAACCATTTCTTGTCTATTATCAATTAATTATTTATTGGATTTAAATAAGCAATTACTTGCCTATAAAAAAATAAATATTTGATTCAAATAACTGATTACTTGTTCATGTTAAAATAAATAAATATTAGTTTATTTAAATTAATTAAATATTTACTTGAATCAAATAATTTTTATATAAATCTTGTGTTTGAATTGAAATTTTGAGGAGATTTAAAAAAAAATTTAAACATAATTGAATTTCTGCGAAGAATTTTATTACTTTTGAAAATAATTGAATTGTTTTTTAGAATTTTATGTAAATTTATGGAAATAATTGAATTCTTGTGAAGAATTTAAAAAAAAATAATATTCAAATGAATTTAGTAAATCTGAAGAATTTTCCTATATTTATGGAAATGATGGAATTCTTGAGAAGAATTTTTTTTACAGTTTCTACAAATAATTGAATTCTTTCGACGAATTTTAATCAAATTTAAAAAAAATTTTTTATATAAATCTTGTGTTTGAACCAATAATATCAGTATTTGTATCAAATAATTTTTATTTTAGCAACTGAATAGTTTTATTTTAAGTACTGAAATTATTGGCTCAGATACAATTTATATTTGATTTAAATAGAGATTATTTGATACTTAAATATTTTCTTATTAAATATTATTTAATAAAAGACAATTTAATAATTATTATTACGAATATTCAGTTATTTTAATCAAATGAATTTTATTTAGTGTATTAAATTTGAATTTCGCGCCATTATAATTCCGTATAATTCCGCCTAGACGGCATGAAAATTCTCTCGCAAACGAGATGAAGTGAATTATCAACTATTTCGTGTAAAGTTCATTTTCTTTTTTGACACGGATAAAAAATTTATTTGATTCAAATAAATAATTACTTGTCAACGATCAAATAAATATTTACTAGAATGAAATAATTGTTATTTAAATCAAATAAATTTTATCTGAAATTAAGAAATATTTAAATCAAATAAAAAAAAATTGACCTAAAGAAAAATTATTTGATGCAAAAAAATATTTATTTGACAATAGACAAGTAATTGTTTATTTGAATTAAATAATTTTTATTGAAATTTAATAAACCGATTCAAATAAACAATT